AGGCATTACAATAACTTAGTTACCTCCCTTGACTTTTGCCCTTGTGCCTACGTAAATAAAGTTTAAAATTGTACGGTACATAAACTTAGCGTTTTTCGCTTCACACGTAAAAAATAAATTTTCAGATGAACAGAAGAATTTCGACTTAGAAAAATGATGAACACGACAATTTTTTTTGTTTTAGAAAGAACAAGAGCAAGATGAGGGTATCGTGCTGATGTCGAAAGTACTTGGAATAAAATGAATATGCATCAACATGGTAATTTCTTTCTTACTTTAAAAAGGATACTAAGAAACTTGTCCGGAATTACGAGAGGATCCTATTAAAAATAAGTAGACAAAACTTAAGACAAAAAACAAAAACAAGAAGAAGATCAACAACAACAACAACAACAACAATAATAATAATAATAATAATAATAATAATAATAATAATAATAATTGCATAGTTGCAGTATAAACCACAGCTGAATTGTGTAGATATTGAACAACATAAATGCGCCTGAGCAGGCGTCTGTAATAGGGATTGGCTAGTCGCCTTTGCTGACAGGCATTACTACTACTACTACAGCTATTAATAATAATAATAATAATAAAAATAATGACTACCATAATAATAGAAATGATGATAAAAGTGAGAAGAAGCAAGTAAGGAAGATATTAATTGCGATTATAGGATGAGAAATATTTTAATGCTATCAATATATATATATATATATATATATATATGATGAAATAAAGTTTTAAAGTATGCTATATTTATGGGTTAAAGTGCTCAGTATCAGGGGTAGAGCGTATGTAAATATAAAAGTGAATATTGAAGTCAACACCCGGAAGCGACAGTATGTTTCATGCTGAACACAATAGTCTGGCCATGTAGCCATGGCCTAATGATTCACGTTTAGCATGAAATATATATATATATATATATATATATATATATATAGAAGAAAATAAAAAAAACAAACAAAAATCCTTAAAAACAATTAAAAAACGTTTATATCTTCTGTCGGACAATTTTCTAATAAACCATCTTAAAAATATAATTAACGTATGAATATGTCCTGAAGATGGTTTATTAGACCGAATCGTCCAGGACATATTCATATTAACATTAAAACAGCATAATTGCATATAAGATTTTTGTTTGTGTTTTCCGTATATATTTTCTTCATACTGTCGGATCTATATCCATATATTTGCTTATGTATATATATATATATATATATGTGTGTGTGTGTGTGTGTGTGTAAAACACGCAATAATCAGGACTGACGACTGCGTATAAGCATGAAACAGACAGTCGCCTCTGGGTTTTAACATTAAAACCCACTTTTACATTTACATACAATATCCATGATATTGAACACTTTAACCATAAGTATAGCATACCTTAAAAGTATATTTTATAATGCATACATATATATATATATATATATATATATATATATATTGACAGACGTACACATAGCAATACATATATATATAAATATATACTCGTATATTTAAAAAGTAGCTTAAGTACAGACAGTGACGCATACCGATACACGTGATCGTTAATTCTTTTCCGATTCAACCTGGCAGGCATCACATTTTCCTAAATTCGATTCAACTTCCTGTTCTCCTCTCCTCCTTTGTCACGTCGTTTTTATTGCTTTCATCTTTTCCCCTCTTTTTTTCTGCTATTGTCCTTCCTGTTTCTCCTTTTCACGACACTAACCACTTGTACCATTCTTCCTTGTGCATACAAACGACAGATCAATTATCCTGCGATGTATCAACAAAACCAGTCCTTCTACAAACACAATCGCTGATGTTTCGAACCGGAAGTTCAGAGCCACCATCTTTCTAATAGTACTAGTTGCATTATCAAGAACTGTTATGACCAATGCCATTAACACCAGCGACACCCTCATTCTTTCCCTAACCCTAACATCATTCAAAGCGAATTCCAGTGATTATTTTAAAGCTCACGGGTGGAAGGACAGTGTAGGAGATAGGCAATGAATTCAGAATAGTCAAGAATCGATGATATTTTTTTTTTTTTTCTTTTATTATATTGCTATTTATCGTGTTATAACTAACGGCCAGTTTGTATAAAAGTACGAAGCTGAGCAAGATAGAGACGAAGTAGGAAGTTTAAATTCCGTGTTCGTCGTTGCAGAGGCAGAGTGAAAGCTTATGATTGTGATATGAAGAGACAAGAAAAGCAAGGTTAGTAGAAAGAAAGAATTAAAAAGGAAATGAAAAGATGTCAAGAGTGAGA